AAAGGAGACCAATCAGATGCCTGTATGTTCATGCTCCTCTCAGAGACTTTGATCTGTCTTGACTAAGGTGCACCTGTATAAGTCCTGGGCCTGTTCAACCAAAGCTGAGTCAAAATTATGTCATGGCGGTGAACCATCAATATGGCAAAGGGCCCACTCAAATTCCATTGCACGGGCTGTGGAATCACAGATTCAGTGCAGACTGAATGGCTTCATCCACCCTGCACACTCACTCACACAAACACACACAGACCAGAGTTTAAATATTCCCCCCTGGGAATGTCTACCCATGAGACTTCTAAGAAGTCTCTGGGAGGTGATCAGGCTCTCCTTTCACCCCAACATGTGGGACTGGGTGGGTCAGGTGCCCCGGGGCCTTACCAGATTCGACGTTGGAACCAGGTCCTCACCTGCCAAGCCTCCTTGAGTCCAGCAGGAACAGCAGAGCGGGACCGGCTCTGGGCAACCGGGAGGGAGACTACCAAAAGGTCAGGCAGGGCACACCTTCTCTGTTTTGATCTCCTGTTCCATCGCCGCCCCACCATTGCCCTAAACCAGTGGCAACAAAGGGCCAGTGCAGTTGGGTTTCCTGGTTAGGGAACCAAATGTTATGAAAAAACCTGAAAAAACCTGGACTGGATCACTGATGGAAGAACCAGGTGGCACTCAGAAGTCTTGAGTGTTGACATTTTAATTTTACACTGGTGGGCTCTGAGGGGAGCAATCTTCCTAGATCTGAGCCCGGAACAAAGGCAAGGGGTGCAATATATACCTTTCTGCTTCTGTATCTGCGACATTTCTATGTGCAGAGCAAATGAGCAAGCAAAGAGGTGTAAGTTTAGGGAGTGAGTTTAGGGAGCAAGTGCCTGGCAGAGCGGGTAGTGAAGGGGAGGGGGTAAACGGGGATTTCTGCTGTCTTTGCTAACTAGAGAAGGGAACCACCTGGACTAGATTGCTGTCCTTGTAAATATTTCCCTATCAAACCAAGGTTATTTTGTTCTGAGGGGATACTGAGAACTGCTTGGAGATATCTTGGGGTGTCACACTGGAGTGAGTGTGTGAAGGTAGAGCTGTTCTGAGCATCCCACAGTACCCAGGGAAGAGCCCACAGAGAAGGATCTTTCCCAGAATGCCTGTCATGCTGTGGTTAAGAAATCTTGAGTTAAATAAAATCTTTCCTTTGAATACGCATAGAATCTTCAGAATGTTTCCCTAAGATGTAACATTTCAAAGTCAGCCAGTAAAGTTAGAGTTCCCCTGTGTTGTCTGTTTAAAAGTTGCAACTCAAATCCATGTGACGGTTCTTTATTTCTCTGGGCTATTGTCTGTGAAAGAGATTTCTTATTTTTTAAATTGAAATAAATGTTATATACAATATTATATTTGCCTCAGGTGTATAACATAGCAATTCAACAGTTATATACATTACTAAATGCTCTTCACAGTAAGTGTAATTACCATCTTGTTTTTAAACAGTGAGCTCCAGCAAAGATTTGTATTCATTTGCCCATTTATTTATTAAATGTTCATGCATTATTTGCCTATTTTTCTGTAATTGTTTGCATTGCTGATAATTTTTTATGGATTATGGTGTCTGTCAACTTTTCATTAGGAATTCTTAACTATTATAAAACAGTTTTAAATTTTATTTAGTTACATGTATTTATCTTTTGTTTCTGATGTTCTTGCCTTCATTATGATGGTTTTCTCTCCTGTAGGAATCTTGCATGTCTTTTTTAGATTTGCATCTTAAATGGAATGGACACTCTCACACTGAGGATTTAATTTTCTGGTTTCTTGTAAGATGTGTGAGATTTGAAACCACTACATTTAATTACACATAAGGAACCATTTATGATAGCTTTTATTCAAATCCAACGTTTCCAATTAAATTGAAATATAGCATTATCTTAGATTAAATGCTCTCATATAACAACAAAAAAAGGAATAGTAAAATAAAAAATAAGAAGAGTGTCTGCTGTGTATCAGAAATGCTGAGGAACTTTATGTTATAGTCTCTTATGACAAGGTGTTTGGTAACATTTTTATTAATCCATGTTGATATGGTTAAATTATTGCTCCATTCAATTTAGTTTAATATGGTTGTATTGAAAGTAGTCTTTTTAACCTGGCCTTTTTCTTCTGTCATTCTTTTTACTTTATAATGTCTTATATTTTTAAACCTGTTTTTATATAATGTTACATGAATTCACATGCATTTGTGGAAAATTGGTGAGCGCAGGTGAAGTTTCTGGTTTTTATAAATATCATAATGACAAACAGTGTGATAAATGCGAGTGTGACATAATGTCCTCAGATAAATCATATGAAAAAATTAATCAGAGTAAGAAGTGGTCATACAGTATGGTTTGGGGAGCCCTCTTCATGTTGGATGAAGAACAGAAACATAACTAGTTATAAACATTCACTTGTCAAAAAAACTGAGTAAAACCTAAAGGCCAAGAAAAACAACAAAAAATGCCACATAAAAAATAAGAAATGGGATTGCCTCCCTGTCTGTCATACCACATAGAAACCAATTGATCAAATGAATATGGAATAAGAGCCGGAAAAGGAAAACAAGTCCTCTGCTGTCTGATAAAAACTGTCCTGACTTTTTGTACTTTACATACAATCCTTGAACAACATGATTGTTAAGGAGTGGCGACTCCCCCAAAAGTCATAATCTACATAGAACTTTGACTCCCCAAAAACTTAACTACTTACAGCCTTTTCTTGACCAGAAACCCTACCAATAACACACAGTCAATAAACACATATTTTACTTCTTCTGTATATTATATTCTGTGTGTTACAAAAGAAATAACCCGGAAAAAAAAGAATGTTTTTTCAAACTGTTGTAAATCATGAAAATATTTTCCAATATACTTAGTGATAAAAATACATCTATAAGTGGACCTGCACTTTTCAAAACTGTGTTGTTCATGGGTCAGCTGTATGTCTGTTTGTAAACAGTTGATTTATCCCACTGACTGTTTGTTACCTGGTAATATGAAATCTGTCAAGATTATTATATTATGATATTTGTTTTTTGGACAAATGTATTTTCACTTTTTTATTATTTTTGCTGAGTGTCAGTAGCATATAACCAGGATTGACTGCCACCAGAGCCAAGGGTGCTGCTTTCTTTCCTCACAGATTTTTTTTTTTAAATATTGGTGGCAGGTCACACTTTATTCATCACATGTCAGTGATAACAAATTCAAAACAATTCCATTTTAATTTAGCATATTAAGTTCACACATAGTCTAAATAACACATTATAAAATACAACGTAATCTACATTCCTAGGTCCATATACAAATGACAAGTCTCTCAGGACAATCAAGTTTGTTAGACCAATTCACGCATCATGAACACCTCATTCCTCTTTCTCTCTGTTTACTGAGTGCACTTTGTGACGCTTCTTTATATGCAGATCAGAAAATATGCCGAGAGGGAGGAGGGTGGGTGTTAAAACAGGTGAAGTGGATAAAGAGGCACACAGTTCCAATTATAATAAAATTTAATCATAGGGATGAATCTTAGCACAGAGAATATAGTCAATAATCTTGTAATATCTCAGTATGTTGACAAATGGTAACTACACTTCTCATGGTGGGCTTCTAAAAATATAGGTAGTTGTCAAATCACCACCTTGTACACCTGAAACAAGGATAATATTGTACACTAATTCTACTTCAATTTCAAAAGAAGAGTAATAAAAAAAACAAAAGCTGGCCATTCCAAAATGAAGTCCCAAGTTGATTTGTCCATGGGAGGCTTATGAATAGGAATTTCTAAGTAGTTTCTACATACTTTATGGGAAAAGTAATATGTTCCAGCAGTTTTGTGTTGCATGCACCCATATCCTAAACATTGTGTGGGGAAGGGAGAGAAGGACTGAGAAGTAACCTACACCAGGAGGCCATGGTGCTGTCTTGTGTGTGTGAGTGTCTGTGAGGGTGTGTGAATGTGTGTGTGGCTTACTGAGCAAGAGCCCTTCTCAGAGCAGGGCTCTCTGGTCTCACATATCCAAAGGGATTCTTATATATAGGAAGCAAACTCAATCAGCATATGTTCTCAGGAGAGGATGTGTTTCAATTGTCAGGATGTGATTGCAACCTGATTAGAGCAAGAGACAAATAGCTTGGATGAGGAGCTCCTGTGGCCTGAAATTAAAGCAGCATTGAGGACAGGTGGTATTTCACAATGTATTGACACCACCCCATCACTCCCTCTGTCACCCATTCTCCTGACACACTGGCTTCTTTTTGAGCCTTGATTTTCTGAAAGAAACACCTTCCTCAGGGCTTGCACATTGGCCATTCTCTCTGCCAGGCACACTCTTCCCCATATAACATCCTGTATTCAGCCCTCTCTTTTTTGAGGTATCTGTACAGTGTCACCTTTTCTGCCCAGTTTTGACTGAACACTCATTGACACATAACACCTCCCATCTTCTCTCTCCTTTATGCCTGCTTTCATTTCTTCATGGTCTCCGTCACCAACCCACAATTATTTAATGCTTGCATATATTTTAATCCTCACACCATCATAGAATATAGGGACTTTTGCTCTTCAGCACCCTCTCATTTATGACGAGAACATGCTTAGAACATGACCTGCACTCAATATATATTCCTCACATGCATTAAATAGTTTATATTTAAAACTATAAAATAATACCTGGCCTTTGAAGAAACTTTTGATGTGGAGATGAATATGCCTATTTGGAGATGATTTGGGGGAAGCCCCCAAGGCATCCATATGCATATACTAAATATTGAAATTAGTTACTTGAATATACAATATAACTGTAGCATTTCAGTGAGTGGGTAATGCCTATTTGTGTGAAAATTAATCATGTTATTTTTTTTTCTGGCAGTCATCTCCACAACATGGACCCAGGGAACCTTACAGGGGTTTCAGGATTTATTCTTCAGGGACTTTCAGAGGATCCAGAACTGCAGCCCCTCCTATTTGGGATTTTCCTCTCCATGTACCTGGTCACTGTGTTTGGGAACATGCTCATCATCTTGGCTGTCAGCTCAGACTCCCGCCTGCACATACCCATGTACTTCTTCCTCTCCAACCTGTCCTTTGTGGACATCTGTTTACCTTCTTCCATCATCCCAAAGACACTGCTGAACATCCAGACCCAGAGCAAAACCATATCCTATGCAGGCTGTATCACACAGATGCATTTTTTCTTGCTCTTTGCAGGATTGGATAACTTCCTCCTGACTGTGATGGCCTATGACCGGTATGTGGCCATCTGCTGCCCCCTGCACTACAAGGTCATCATGAACCCCCAGTTCTGTGGACTTCTTGTCCTGGTGTCCTGGATCATGAGTGTCCTGCATTCCTTGTTACACAGCTTAATGATGTTGCAATTGGCCTTTTGTACAGACATGGAAATTCCCCACTTTTTCTGTGAACTCAGTCAGATGCTCCAACTTGCCTGTTTTGACACCTTTCTCAATAACATGATGATATATTCTATATCAGCACTGCTGGTTGGTGGCCCTATTGCTGGCATCCTTTACTCTTACTCTAAGATAGTTTCCTCCATATGTAGAGTCTCATCAGCTCAGGGCAAGTATAAAGCATTTTCCACCTGTGCATCTCACCTCTCTATTGTCTCCTTATTTTATTGTACAAGCCTAGGTGTGTACCTCAGCTCTGCTACTACCCAGAGCTCACATGCAGTTGCAACAGCCTCAGTGATGTACACTGGGGTCACACCCATGCTGAACCCCTTCATCTACAGCCTCAGGAATAAAGACATAAATGTGGCCCTGAAAATACTTTTTCAAAAGGAAAATATTCAATGGCCCATTGACCTGGGTCTGAGGAAATGCCCATGATAACAGGGCTCAAAGCCTGGGCTAAATATTGCCTTTCTTTGACCATATTGGGGAAGCTGAACATGCAGTTTTATCTTTTTCCTGGAATTTCCATTTATAAGACTTATACTTCTCTGTGCAATTTAGGTAACTGTCTTTTTTAAACTTTGTGATCATTCTGATTTCCAAGAGATATCCCCTTTGTCATTTTCCTACACTTGCAAAATTATATGCCTTTTGGATGTGAAATATTTGGCAATTACTCATTATAACAATGAACTACATGGATCTCTTCAGAGTAATTTCTTCTCAAGTGAAATGTCATATTAAGTATCTTTTTGATAAACGGATAGTCATGAGTTGTACTACTTCAATGGAAAAAAATAACTCAACTCTTGGCAACAAGAGCTATTTATATAATTTTTTCTTAAATGAAAATCTGAGACCACCATTTTTCACTTTTGAGAATATCATTTCTACATATATCACTTCTTTAATTGCTGTTTTTGTAGTGTGGAACTTAAATGCTGGTTGTGATAGCCGATAGTTTATTTTAATAATTAGAATCCTGTTCTGTTACACAACTTGTGTCCACTGTGCCTATCATGATCACTGGCAAAATTTTGCAATAAAAATACATGTTGCCAGGTGAACTCTACAAAGAAAGAAAAATACGAATAAATAAGTTGACATAATATAGCCTTAGAGTCAGAGTTGACCTTGAGACAGGGACCGTGGGTGTAGTCAGAGTAGGGTGAGGACCTCCAGGAAAAGCAGGGTGGAATATTTATAGTCAGAGCAATGTAACAATGGGCAAAGAAGTCCCTACTGAAACTCTGTGCTAAGCATTATGCAAAGTCAAGCTCACACTAATTCTCTAGGGTCAAGATATAGACATCTTCAGTGAGATCAGTTAAAGGTCAAAAGGCCAGGAGCAACTTGGCCTGGGATGTTTGAGTTTTCTACAAGGTTTTAGCACAACCCCATGACTGCTGTCAGCCCTAGCAATCAGACTATGACCCAGCCCACCTTGAGGACAAGCGCTGGTGGTACAAGTCCACACCCCTAAGTCTTTTTTTATTGTGCTCAAAAAGTTCTCAATTGCCTATAAAACCCCTAGACAACACACCATCACAGACTCTCTTTTCCCCTCCTGGCATGAGCTGGGAGCTCTGTCCTTTCACTTTATCTCTAAATAAAAGCCTGTACCTTGCTCTCCTACATTGAGTGTTTGTGAAGCTCATTCTTCAGCTTTGTGAACAAGAACCCCGGCATCATCTTTGGGGGCTCATCCGGGATAGATTTGGACGTGAGTATCAGCATCCAAGACTGTCTTTTCTTTCACTGTCCTTATAGGAGGAAGCCGTCTATGGCACACAGCATTGGGCACTCATCAGTCACTTAAATGGGACTAGCCTGGCTGCTGATCTCAAAGTCTCGAGTGACAGGATCCCCTGCGTCTCCCTCAGTGGATCCCCCATCTCCCTTGGGAGCTGGAAAAGTCACCTGAGTGGAGGCCAGGATTCCCCTTTAGAGGCATCTCCTTGGATGCGAGGGACTGAGGAAGGCCGTAGGCACCTGCGAGAGTCTAGGCTGAGGCTGCGCTTCAGCAGCTTCTCAAAGGCCCATGTGTCTGACAGACCCCGACAGCCCAACTGGTTATCCATGAGGAGTGTCTCTCTGTCTCAGTCTCTGACTTCCAGCCTGCTTCTTCAGGCTTCCCTGCCCTCTCAGTGAGCCAGGGGGCATTTCTAACTCTCTCCTAACTTCATCAATTTCATGGAACCCAATGCTCACCACCACAAGGTAGGAGATCCATGCTTTGTTCTTATTCCTAACTAAATGCTGTACTTTTTATCTGATAAAAATATGTCTGGGCACCCATTAGCCACTTAAAAGACAATTAGCATTGGCTACCAGTCTTAAGTCTCAGGTGAAAGGTTTCCTGGTGTCTGCTGCTCCTTAATCCCCCACCTCCAGATGGATGGGAATGTCCTGGAATGGCTGAGCTGATTTCCCACTTCCTCCCCTAATCTGCAGACTCCGAGGGCAGACCGGACTAGTAGACAGTGGTCCTTTGATCTCGGCTCTGGCTCATTGATCCAATGGCCCTGAGTGAACCTCCAGCTAGGCTGCTGCCTATGTGAGAGTCGCAGATGACCCTCCACAACCTCTTGTCTTACAGATCAGATTTGTTATAGTGGGTGACTGGCTAAATAATTCTCAGGCAGTGACAGAAACTGGTGTTTGAATATAGACACCGCCCTCCATAACCATACATGTAAATGGCCCCATTTAAATTCTAGCCATGGCTCTATTCTATTGATCTCTGTTCCTTGGAGGCAGTCTTCCTGGAGCTATGGAAATTCCTTACCTGCAGCCCAAGTATACTATGCTAAAGCCTGTGCTGAGAAACTAGGGTCTGGATCAGGACTCCCAGAGGCATAAAGTAAAAGCATACTGGTGAGGTCCCCACTAGATCCAGAGCTCTGAAGCAGCTCTTGCTTAGTGTGGGAAGGCAAGAGGGAAATCAAGGCAAGGTACAGGCCATGCTGGTAAGGAGTGGTTAATCCCAGTAGGCTGGAGAGGGGTTAACTAATCACTGTCACTCAGGCTCCAAGGCGAGGGGACTCCCTCACAGAGAGAGAGGCTGATCAGGTGCTTTAAACTCATCTTTCTCTCTCCCTCTCTCTTCCAGATGGGAGCATCTTCTTCAAGTCTAAAGTCAGACACGCCTCTGGCATACATTCTGAAGAACTGGGAGCAATTCAATCCCCAGACCCTGAAGAAGAAGTGCCTTATCTTCTTCTGCACACAAGCCTGGCCTCAGTACAAACTCTCTGATGGAGAGGCCTGGCCTCTGATGGAAGCATACGGTATAATAAGGTCATGCAGCTAGATTTATTTTGCCACAAGAAAGGGAAATAGTCAGAAATCCCATATGTACAGGCCTTCTTTGCCCTTAGGGATAGTAAAGGACTATGCCAGAAAGGTGGAATAATTCCAGACCCTACTCTAAACCCTAATTCCTCCCCCATTGGCTCTGCTATGCCTACCTTATCCAGATGTAAGACCGCTTGCAGGGAACCCTAAAAGTCAGACCACAGGAGAACTGCCACCCCAAGCATCATTGGTCCAATCACCCCACCAGGCTTCCCAGGGGGTGAAGAAAAGACAGTTATACCCATCTTTATTGCCTTTACAGGAAGTAGCCAATGGAGAGTGGGGACCAGCTCTGGTCCATGTCCCTTTCTCCCTCCAAGACCTGAGGCTAATTAAACAGGACATGAGTAAATTTTTGGATGACCCAGACAAATACACAGAAGCCTTCCAAGAGCTTACTTTAACTTTTGAACTGGCCTGGAAGGATGTTATGCTTACACTGAATCAAACCCTTACTGGAGGGGAGAAAGAGAAAGTAATCAGAGGAGCCTTAGAGTTTGGAGATGAATGGAATACTATAAATGCAAATGTCAAATCTCCAGAGGAACTAACACGACTCCCCACTGGCTGTCAGGCAGGGCCATTCACCGACCCAGAGTGGGGCCAAGATACAGATGATACTGATAACTAGTACAGGAGCCACTTTATAACTTGTATTTTAGAAGGGCTGTAAAGAGCATGAGTAAAACCTATAAATTACTATAAATTATCAGCTGTAGTGCAGGAAGAAAAAGAAAGCCCCTCAGCCTTTCTGTAGCAGCTCAGGGAGGCACTGGTGAAGCACACTTATATGTCCCCAGAGTCCCCAGAGGGTCAAGTCATTCTCAAGGATAAATTCATCACCCAATCGGCCCCAGATATCAGGAGGAAGTTACAAAAATTGGTATTTGGCCCAGAATAAAATCTGGAAACCCTCCTGAAGGTCGCCACATCAGTTTTCTATAATAGAAATGAGGAGGAAAAGAGGGACTGGGACGGGAGAGACAACCGAAAGGCAGAGGCACTAGCAATATAGCCTATTCAGGATTCCTGAGGGAGCAGCATGGTTCACTGTGCTAGACCTGAAGGATGCTTTCTTTTGTATCCTGCCTGCACCTGAATCCCAGTTTCTCTTTGCTTTTGAGGATCCTATAAATCCCTCAGCTCAATTAACCTGGACAGTTTTGCCCCAGGGATTCAGAGATTGCCCACATCTATTTGGGCAGGTTTTAGCCAAGGACCTGACCTCCTTTGATTCAAGGGAGGCAGAAACCATCCAATATGTGGATGATATACTTCTATGCACCACCACAGAGACAGAGTGTCAGGAAAGTACTCAGAGATTACTGAACTGCCTAGCTGATTGTGGCTATAAGGTCTCTCATCACAAAGCACAGATATGTCAGCAGCAAGTAAAATATCTGGGCCTTAACCTCTCTCAGGGAACTAGAGCCCTGGGGGAAGAGAGAATTCAGCCCATTCTCTGCCACCTAATGCCCTCTACTATCAGGCACCTGAGGGGATTCTTGGGCATCAGTGGGTATTGCAGAATTTGGGTCCCCAGATATGGAGAGTTAGCCAGACACCTCTACCAACTCCTTAAAGAAGCCCAAAGAGAAGTTACCATAAAACTCTAGTGGGAACCTGATGCTATTAAAGCTTATGAGGCTTTGAAAAAAGCCATGCTCCAGGCCGCTGCCTTAAGCCTGCCCACTGGAAATAAGTTTAACCTCTTTGTTACTGAGAGATCGGGAGTGGTGCTGGAAGTACTAACTCAACCTTGAGGAGAAATGTAGCAGCCTGCAGCCTATCTCAGCAAGGAACCAGACCTAGTAGCTAAGGGCTGGCCACACTGTCTGAGGTCTGTGGCAGCTGTAGCCCTGCTAGTACCTGAAGCCACAAGACTGACCCTGGGAAGAGACCTGATAGTGCATGCACCCCATAATTTCACCAGCTTATTGAACACCAGGGGGTCCTGTGGCTGTCAGACAGCAGGCTACTAAAATATCAGTCGCTCCTCCTTGAGAGCC